GGATCTCTCTCGTTGATTAGTTTTCATAGCTTTCTAATCCTCTCATAACTTTCATTCTCTCAAACTCAAAACACTCGAAAGATCTTTACACTAGCTTTTAGCGTAGTGCAACTGGAGTCTCGTTGGCCATCATTGTATCGGTAACAACTGTGTCAAACTTGATAATGAAGTCCACTGCGGATCCTTGCTCCTCTGGGCTGTATTGCACACTCGTCAGCCATGTGAGTGTCTCCACATGATCCAGAGAACCTGCTACTGACAAGTGAGCGTCCTGGACAAGCTCACGAGAATGGCAAAGCAGTCGGAGTCATGAAAGTGGGACTTCACGACCACCTTTCCATTGGTGGTCTGCACTGTCTTCTGGAAAACAGCGTAGAACCAATGATTCATCGTATGAGTTCATCATGACTCGGTGCTGCTTTGGGACTAGTCGGCATCAAGATCTTATGAAACCCTGTGACCTCTAGCTACAGTGATAAAGGACTCAAACCACTGGTCGAAGTCCTTGTTGGACTTGAGGTGGGTAGGCCGTTGCATCTGGCTTGGCACGAAGGGCTTGCCTGGAGGGCCAGTGTTGCCAGCTCCTCCACCCCTCTGGGACTTGGAAGACCATCATTGCCATCAGCGGTGGGAATGAGGCTGACTTCCTTCTTGGTTTCTCCGTTGATCAGTAGGTTGGCACTGATGGATGCTGGTGTACTGTTGTCTGGATGATGTGGGCTTAATAGGTATGGGCTGATGGCTGCTGAAGGCACAGGCTGAATTGGTGTAGGGACTGAAGACACCGGTTGTGTAGTTGGGTATCTCACTGAATAGGGTGTTGTAGGGTGTTGTGGGATGCCACAATATGATGTATTGGTGTTGGTTGGGGATATACCTCCCCATTGAGGGCCATCACCTTGGTGATGTATCCACCTCCAGCAGGGGAAGGGCAACATCCATGGCAACTTTGGGTGTGGGATGGATGACCAAGAGGGTCCTCAACATCACCCAAACAACTCTGTTCCAAACTGCTGGTTCTGAATCGGTCCTCCTAGCCTTAATCTCAGGGCTAGGCTGTGTGATAAACACAGGTGTGCAGGGAGTGGAGTAATAAGGTGGATGGGATGAACCAAGCTGATTGGGTATTGTGGCCTGTGGTGGGGCCAAGGGAGCGTGGTTCATTTGTTTCATTTTCTTCAATGCTATTGCCAGTTGGTGGCTGATCATTGAAAGGGTAACACCATGGTTGGCTGGTGTGAAGGAGTTACAATGGGAGGCCCTGACTGGTAGGCTACAGGGGGGTCAACAGGTGTCCTTCCATGTGATGAATGTGGAGGCCCTGCAGTGGTGGACCTGTTGGTGTTGCCAGTCTATTGCCAGTGTGTTGTTGGTGTAACACCTATGGCAGGCTGGGCTGGTTGCTTGCTTCTTCTTGCGAGTCATGGTGATTGTTGGTGCGCTGGCTGAGTGTGGTGTACTGTAGAGGTGTTGTTTTAGTGGTGCTTGAACAAGCACTGTGACGAAAAAATCCAAATGGAGACCTGAAGCCTTGCACTGCTGGCCAATGACTAAACAAAGGTTGCTTGACACACTGGTAACCTTGGAATCCTTCGAAACAGTCAGATCGTGCTCTCGTGGTGTTGCGAGTTGCCCTTGGAGTGGTTGATCGACACCTTGAATCAACACGTATCTTCAATACGTATCTTCAATACGTATCTTCCGAGTTAGGAATTCCGAGGAAATGTGAGGTGCGTTGATGCGCGATGTGCCGGCTTGCTTTCGGAACAGACGTCACTCGGAAGCAGAGGTACGGTACCGGTTCTTGTGAGTACCGTGTGAGTACCAGTTCCCTTTACCGGAGTACCTTCACCGCAGGCACGACTGAGATTTACGTATCGAAAGTCGACAATGAGTGGTAACCTGCCTCCTATTCCACTCGCGGCTGCCGATCACCGAAGCCGATTAACAAGAAACTGGCTGGTGTATCCTTGTAGAGCACCTCGGGTTATGTAGGTGTACCACGGTCTGTTGTCACTACTGTCGATGGGTGTGTTTCGGCGCCTCGATAGTTATTTTGTCGCTGATTTTCCTTGTTGATTGATCAGCCGATGCTTGCCACTCGCCGATCTCGAAAGGTAGGCCGATTGGTAGGAAGATAGACGTTGTATCTTGTAGCGGATACCTTTGTTGGTAGAAGACCAACTTGGTTTGACTTGAATCGGTCGCGATTCCAGTTTTCGGTCGTCGACGTCGAGCGTCTTCCTGTCGCGATTTTTCCTTCCTCTCACTCCTCCGTCTTCCACACCGCTAGCCACTCTTGTGTGCTTGCGACAAGTTAATCCTATGAATTCCAAAGGAACTCACTGGTAGTGCACAAGAGCTGGGATGGAGAGCCCTGTCTGGTGGAGATCTCCTTCCACTGGCGCTGGAAAGGCCAGCCCAAGGCTGGCAGCCAATGCTATTCAATCACTGTGGAAGCAAGATTGAAACAGTCTAATTGCGCATACCCTGGACTGGCCATACAGGTTCCTGTCTACTGCAGAGCTCTTACTTGTGCTGTTGGGTCTGTTTCTCAGGATCAACATACTTTCTTCATACTTCTTTAAACTATATATGAACACCAACTCTGATTTTGCGTGAAACTCACATCCAGCCATGCAGGATACAAGATCCATGCATCTCTTTTGGCTGGTATGTACCAAGCTATATTTCTAATAGGTCATGGCTGAGGAAGTCATCATCCTTCCTTGCAGAGGAACATATGTACCTCTACAGCTGTTCTTATCTTGTCTGATGGTGACACAGCTCATTGTACTGAAAGACTGTACAGATGCAACAGCGATCTTTCCATCAGACTGAGCCAGCACAGCTGCGCCGCACCCATATGGCTCCTATGGCATAATCTCATCGTAGGCGATGGGTTTGAGGTCTCTTGTCTTGCGACGTTTACGAGGTGGTTGGCCCACGAGGTTAACGATGCTAAATAGATCTCAAGTCTAGTTGAGCAGCTTCTAGGCAATCATCTAATTTGCCGTAGAGTTCATCGGTTGCAAACAATTCTTGTTTACTAGTTAGTGAGATATCCTCATCACTTGGTATGAGAAATCGGAACATGGTTCCGTTGAGTCATCATACTGGCCTAATCCTCAGATAGAGATTCTCCATCCAAGTGATTGAAGATCGTTAGAGGAGTTGTGCCTCTGTAGAGTCTTGCTTTTGCGCTTGGCAACATTGTTGCGAAGTTTGCAGGTGGTGCAACGAGTATCATCGATCTCGGCGTCTTCGTCGTTGTCCACGAGGAGGAAGAATGGGTTGTCACGCAAACTGTTCTCGAAGTTGGGGAACGCATGCTTCCATTGAGCATCTTCATGGTGGAAGGAATAGGTTGAGGGTAGCTGAAAGCTATTGTGTTTTGTTACAAAATGCACTACGCTAAATAGCTAGTGTAAGATCTTTCGGTGGTTTGAGTTTGAGAGAATGGAAGTTTTGGAGAGAGAATTAGAAAGCTATTGAATACTAAAACGAGAGAGATACTCATCAAGGGAGTCGTAGATCTGTCTTCCCGCGGGAGACTATAAGTGTGATAGAGTAGGTTGCGGTAGCATCCTACGTTCTCACACGATCCCTAAAACGGAACCGTGGAAGATTCGTCTAGCTGGATCTAGTAGGTGGAAGTACTCCACGCTGGCTAATATCTAGAGCGATGTTTCATCATCAACCTAGTATGACTATGAGCGGTCATTGAGAACACCTGTCTCAAATGACTATTCACGAGAGACCAGTCATGAGTCGAATCAAAACCATCTAGGATCGAGTCGCGAATAAGGCTAGAGCCGTGTATGCACTTTGTAATGCTCCTCAATCTGGAGATGACCCAAGCTGGAGCTTTTGAGCATTGACAAGTGTAGCATGAGAGTCCAGAGGGGCTTCCTCCTGGAGTAGGTTTGACTTGCAAGCCCTGATATCTTCAGCAGTGAAGTTCTTGGACTGGCTTGTTGCCACCAATACCATGCATCCACTCTTGCCTAAGCAGAGCCAACAGTTCCTGTACTTGGCTAGCTTGGCAGGCACTACTATCAGCCAGGGTGGTGGCCACAGCTTGTCTGTACTTGAGGCTATCTGGCCATTCCGGCGAGTCCTTTCCACAGTCAACCCATTCTAAAAGATTACCATCTACCTGATAGGTGTTGCCATCCTTGGAGGCTGAACAGCATTCCTAAAAAGCATACAAGAATACAGAGTTAGCAGCAGTAATAGCCATAGTTGCAATAGCCAACAGCCACAAGATCCACACTTACCTGACATATTTCCATTGAGTTTCGTTAGCTCCGCGCCAAGCCAAGTCTCCAACCAACCTCCAAATGAGCAGCCAACTGTCGCGGGTCCTAGTACCTTCTTGCGCTTTGAGCTGCTGGAGCTGGTTGTGCTGCGCAATAATCCTTAGTCAGAATCTCCTCGTTCGTTCGTACCTGTTGTTGGGTTTGCATAGCCGTCACCTGCCGCGACTGTTTGGCAACTTGACGAGTGATTTGCCTGGCCGGTCGTTCCCGTTAGTGCCACCAGCCGTGCCACCGCCGCCTCCCGTTTCCATCGGCTCGATTTCGTTGATGTGGAGCTTGGTGGTGTGCGTCCAACTAGAGAGAGGCACTTTCACCACAGGGTTGATGCCAACAGGAAGATCGGCCTTGATGCGCCAGACGCATTTGGATCCTAACACGGAACGGGAGGCTCCATCCTCTCCTCCCACAGATTCGTCAAGAGCAGCCAACAAAGAGCAGAGCCAGTGAAGGAAATGTCGTTGACACCGTCGTAAAACGCATGCGTCTTGGCACCACATGCTCATTCAACCAGTAGGGAGTCACTCTCTTGGCATCGGGTGTAGCTTGTAGGCAATAGGAGTCCCCATGCAAAGCTTTTCGGCAACACGAGCGTCGATCCAGGTCTGTTCAGGCGAACTGTAGGCATCAACAACCCGTCCAGACAAGCGAGCCTTCCAGCGACCTCGAATGTCAACTTCGTCAGCAGTAACACCCATCCCTCTTGCCAGAGTTGCAGCAAACTTCCGAATGCTGTGACTCCAAGAACACCAGCAATGAGGAGCGCCACAGCCAGAAATGAAGCCGACAAAAAGACAGCCTTGAGAATGTTTGCGGTATGCTGCGTTGCAGTGCTTGGGAGCCAACTTGGATCGCTTTCGGGAGTAAAGAGGAATGCATTTCCCGACCAGCGGCGCCATACCCTAGTTGAAGGACGCCTCCATGTAATTCGCCAATCCGACATAGCACAAAAGTCGGTATCCATCGAACCAAGAATGATTTGGTCAGGGCATTGTCGTTCTTCCGAAATATTCTTGGACAATGCACCTTGCAACTGAGCGCAAAAAGGAAGTCTGGATGCGGCTTGTAGTCGGAATACTTCAACTGGAGATGTCGTCCGTCCCGGTGATGAGATGGACTTGCTGCTTCAACATGCAGGCTGTACGGATGTCGATTCAAAGCTCCCTTTGCCGTAGAGTTCATGGACCCACCTTGCGATACTCAGTTTCCGTCAAATCCCTGGTGGCACAGACTTCTTGCCGCGGTGTTGAGTCTCGCTTTCTTGACTTCCTTGACCACTTCGTTCACGGATCGGACTTGGTTGGATTCCGGAGGTTCCATTCCATGTGGCACTTTGATGGGCATGTAAAAGGAAATAGCCTTCTTGTCTTGCCCAAGAGTAGAGGAGCGGCAAGTGGATTCTGCTCGAGGTCTTTGAAGTCAACGTCCGTCGTACCATACGCACGCCATTTCAAGTAGTCGGCAACGTGTGTGGTTGGATGCCGCCCAAAGCACTGGGTTGGAAGCGAGCCGCCTTGGTGTAGTCCTCTTGTGCAGCCAGCTCATGAATTTGACGAAGAGTCGATGGTAATCCCGGTTGTACTTGGGCTGTTCCGTGGGTGCTTCAGGCAAATCCGGCACGTCTTCCAACCCAAAGGCTCCATCATTGGCATTGTTGGCCATGGTGGAGTAATTGTTTGGTCAACTAAGCAATTGTTGGTTTGGTGGAATTTCGGCAGAGTTTCCTTTATAGAGTTGAAGGATTCAAAATAATGAGGAAAACTGAACTGCAATGACGAAAACTGAACTGCCTGTACGGAGCGATGGATCGATCGATCGATCAATCAATCACGGGATTTCTGCGTTGTTTGCCTCTTTGCGGCACGGGAATCCTTTTTTGCCTCTTACTTTGCACTGAGTATGCTGCAACGACGTACAATCCAACGACCGATCAGTACTAGCTAACACAGGCATCCTAGTACGATTCACTGAGTATGCCCCACTCGTTGGATCTTTGGAACGATTGGATCGCATTGGAATCGTTGGGTATGTGTTTCGGTACTTAGGGCGAAATTGGAATCCTCTCAGGTCTTTATATATTCAGGCGCCGGTGTTAATTCTTCTCTGTTGCAGTTTATTTAATAATGAGAGTCTTATTGAGAGGATCTTTGTTTCAATGACTACTGATACCATAGACTTTCTACGTAGCATACTGTCATTGATCCTGAGGGTATGTAAGATCCACATAGTAGCAGGGGGAAGCACATACTGGGCCTGTGCAACTACTGTTGCAGAAACGTAGTACCGTAAGCATATGAGTACTATTTTAAAATAGCTAGCCAGTGTGTCATTGTCTCTTCACCCACTGGCCACCCCCTATTTGGCTACCGGTACGGTTATCCAGCAACTAGCTAGATCTGGCAACGGATTTCGTCCACTATCACTTCCCCACCCGGCCAAAAGCATTTTTCATTGATTGAGTCATGAGCGGTGTCACGAAATAGATCTATACGGAATTGAATAGTATGTATACGGTACTTAGATTGACCGTTAATGCTCTAACCGACAACGGTCCCCTACCGGGTCTCGAATGACCGAACAGGTCATGGAGCGCTGTCTCTAAATCCATGATGGTTAAGACTGGCATTTTTGCTTTTCCCGAAAGTTGAACTGGACAGATTTCGTGCAATACGGCACATAAGGACTTCTGAATAGTCCAACTTTCCACCGCAGCAAAAATGTCACGGGGGGTATGGATATAAGGGTAATTTTTTTAGTACAGGTTAATTTACTACGGGCTCAAACACGGATCAAATGGCTCATTCTTGTTGGGGCTTGATCGTATCTTATCTTTTGAGAACAGCGCAGAACACTTCGGAGTGCCCTGGACAATGTGGGACCGACTTGTATAGAGCTAACAGTAGTCAGAATAATCAAAATGGACCATCACTGATGATCGATCTGGATTCTCTTCCTCAGACATCAGTCCTGTAAGTCGGAGGGCTGTTCTCCTTTTGCGAGCTCCAGGTCTGGACCTCACTTTTTCCCTGAGAATGAGGCTGTTGCTGTTGCTGTTGCTGTTGCTGTTGCTGTTGCTGAGTCAAGGGTGGAGGAGTCATTCACTGAGTCAAAGGAGGGGGACTCTGTCTTTTGTACGGATTGGGGTACTTGGCTGCCTGAGGCTTCTGGCTGTCATATTTAACAGGATCCTGGAAAGGGCCGGGTGGTGGAATGGTGCTGGTCTTCTCTGCAACTCGTCTTCCCTGTCGGAACTGTTGAACTTGGGAAAAGGGCATGGGGACAGCCTCTGCCACATTCTTGAATTGAACAGTCGGACGTGGTGGAGCAGTAGCTGGGCCATTGACAGGGCGACCATGATTCATATGTGTGGTGTTGCTGGTGTTCGGCACACTCTTTGAGTACTGGTTTACTGTCATGCTGACATAACGTGTGTTGGAGCCTCCAGTAGAGGCTGCTCTGCCTTGCTTGTTTCCAGTGGAGTTTCTATGATGATTTCTGGTGTAGGTTGCTGTGCCGTCGGAGCTTTCAGTAGTGACAGTGCTGGGTGGGTTGGCTTTCTTGGGAAGTCCAGAATGATCCGGGCATTTGGCTTGGAGCCCTTGGACCATCTCCAACAGCCAGTCAATTTGTCCATCCATGTGGTTGAGGATTCCATCTTGGGCTTCCAATCGCTCCAAGATGACCTCAGTGGAAGTGTTGGAGCCAGCGTTAGCAGGAAAACTGTGGTTGTGACGCCACCCACCACTGCTAGAGCTCTTGGAGGAGGAGTCATTGGACGCAGCACACTTCTGTGTAGTGTGGCGCTTCAAGTCCGTGGTGGAATCCTTGAGCTTTGTCATGATACGCGACTCAGCTGTGACTACAGAGCTTGTGGCCTCTTCCAGCTTGCTCACCAAACGCGATTCAACACCATCCATCTTGACGTCCAATGACATGGTGACTGTACGCAATCCTTCACCAAGGTCCCTCCATGCCCTAGATAGTCCGTCAATAACTGACTTAGAAGCTTCCTTTGGTAGAGTGCGTAGAATGTCTTGTAACCAAAAATGAGGCTAGCACGGATCCGTTGACTCCTGCTCCCACTCGAAAGTTTCGCAATTGCCAAAAATGAGGCTTGCTAGCACGGATCTGTTCGCAGTAAGTCTGCCAAAAAGGAGGCTAGCACGGATCAGTTGACTCCCGCTCCCACTCGAAATTTTCGCAGTAAGTCTGCCAAAAAGGAAGCAGGAGTCAACAGATCGTGCTAGCCTCCTTTTTGGCAGGAGTCAACGGATCGTGCTAGCCTCCTTTTTGGCAGACTTACTGCGAAAATTTCGCTAGCCTCCTTTTTGGCAGGACTTAATGCGAAAATTTCGCGGGAGTCAACGATCCGTGCTAGCCTCTTTTTGGCAGGAGTAACGGATCCGTGCTAGCCTCCTTTTTGGCATGTGTCCACTGATCGTGCTAGCCTCCTTTTTGGCAGACTTACTGCGAACGGATCGGTGTAGCCTCCTTTTTGCAGGAGTCAACGGATCCGTGCTAGCCTCCTTTTTGGCAGACTTACTGCGAAATTTCGAGTGGGATCACAGATCCGTCTAGCCTCCTTTTTCCGTGCTAGCCTCTTTTTGGCAGGAGTCAACGGATCCGTGCTAGCCTCCTTTTTGGGCAGACTTACTGCGAGCTATGGGACGGGATTCAACGAGATTCGGCTAGCCT